TAACCATCAAGACGCCTGCCATTTGATATAAATAAACTTTAAAGAAAACTCGAAACAGTAATGATAAAAAATAATATTTGATAGCATCATGTATTTTAAAATTTCGAATAACTATGAATTTTTGCTTGAATTAATTTGGACGTTCTGGCATATTTCTACATAAGCAATTTTGTAATTTAGCGATACTTGAACAACTATCCTATCATCGTCATATTTGAGGCTCTTGTCTACTACAACCCAGGTTCATAGATGCGAATGGCTAAGAGTTTAACATTTTTAATTCCTTGCTGTGAGTGATTTTATGGATAAAGAAGCTTCTTTAAATGTTTATTTTTTGCGATAAAAGTAAACTTTTCGTCAATCTGACTATGTTTCAAATGCCTTTATTGCTCATAGAGTATTCAGATTTATCACCGTATGGATTTTTTAAATTAATTGTTGATCTATTCAGGTCGAAATATCCGTTTGGGAGCTCAGTTTTCTCAAATAAGTCGTTCAGTGGTACGTTTTTGAATAATTTTTCTTAAATTCTGGTTCCTTTAGAGTGGAGCAGCAACTCCTTTGAAAGACGAAGATCGTATTTTCAATAACCTTTACGGTAGACACGATTGGCATCTCAAAGGAGCTCTTCAAAGGGTTTGATATTTACTCTTATGTTCATTAATTTGTCTCTTTCAATAGGGTCGTTGGTATAAAACAAAAGAGATAATCCTCAAGGGTCAAGATTGGATTATTGAGGAGATTAAAAAATCTGGTTTGCGGGGTCGTGGTGGTGCAGGCTTTCCTACCGGTGTGAAATGGAGTTTTATGAGAAAGCCTAATGACGGCCGGTAGGGTTCTATTTTTCTCTGGATAATAGTCTATATTCTAGTCCGCGATATCTTGTCGTCAATGGTGACGAAGGTGAACCTGGAACCTGTAAAGATCGTGAGATTATCCGACATGACCCTCACTCCCTAATTGAGGGTTGCTTGATTGCTGGTGTTGGAAATGGAGCACAGGCTGCTTATATTTATATTCGTGGTGAATTTTACAACGAAGCTTGTATCTTACAAGAGGCTATAAATGAAGCGTATGATGCTGGTTTAATAGGAAAGAATGCTTGTGGTTCCGGCTATGATTTCGATGTCTATATTCATCGTGGCGGTGGTGCCTATATTTGTGGTGAAGAAACAGCCCTTATTGAGTCAATTGAGGGTAAACAAGGCAAACCACGTTTGAAGCCCCCCTTCCCAGCTGATGTTGGCCTTTTCGGTTGCCCCACGACAGTCAACAATATCGAAACAGTCGCTTCTTCGCCAACCATCTGTCGTCGGGGTGGTGAATGGTTTGCTTCTTTCGGTCGTAAAAATAATCACGGAACGAAACTCTTTAACATCTCCGGTACGTGCCTATTTTGTCCAATTTCGATCGTTTTTATGCATATAAAAGAATTAGTAAGGGTGTTTGACTTTTCAGGTCATGTAAACAACCCATGTACTGTGGAGGAAAGCATGTCAATCCCACTGAGAGACTTAATTGAAAGGCATTGTGGCGGTGTACGGGGTGGATGGGACAATCTTCTTGCCGTTATCCCTGGTGGTAGTTCCACCCCTGTAATTCCCAAAAGTATTTGTGATACTGTGCTAATGGATTATGATGCTTTAATGGAAGTGCAGTCTGGTTTGGGTACAGCAGCCATCGTTGTGATTGATAAATCGGCTGATATTATTCGATGCATCGCCCGTTTGAGTGAATTCTACAAGCATGAATCTTGTGGTCAATGCACACCATGTCGTGAAGGCTGCACTTGGATGTGGAAGCTTATGACCCGATTTCGTGAGCATCTAAATCAATTTTCCATTAAATTACATAATATGCATCAATTGCATTATGTTTTCGTGTCTAGAGGTGGGTAATGCCAAAGAAGAGGAAATTCAATTCCTTAATGAAATTGCCAAACAAATTGAGGGACATACAATCTGTGCTTTTGGCGAAGGTGCTTCGTGGCCTGTTCAAGTAAGGCACTTTTGACCTCCTACTTATAAACGCATAAACAGTTTCAAATCATTATTGGCTTATTTCTTTCGCATTTACAGGGTCTCATTCGTCACTTTACTCCTGAGATAAAGCGTCGTATTGCGAAGTATCAGGAAGAGAGAGAAAAGGCCGCTATTAAGGTTACAGCTTAAATGTATTCGCGAAGTAAATAGCGTGTAGTGTCATTTTTTTCTTAATAGAATTATTATTCCCTCATCTGTAAATTTCTCGTTTTTGTAATGTTTTTATGGCAGTGATTTCGGCATTTTTTTCACCCATCAACCAAAACGCCTAGGGTTTGGTGGATTAGTAGGTTATTCGTCGTTTGTATTAAATGGGCTGTCCTCCTAATTCATTTTCCCAATGTTGTGTCGGTTTTAAAATAGTATGCCATATTCTAAAGCTTTGAATCGGACTCGAATGCCAGTTCATCATAATTATCTAGTCGTGCATTTTGTGTCTGAGCTTAACGCAATCTGGGTTCTACTCGCTCAACATTGGGGCTTCTCCATTTTCCTATTTATACTTCTTCCTCTACACGTCTATTCAGTGCCACTTATCCTAACTCTGATCATGGTCATCTCTTTCGGAAAGGCGATTAGTCTCTAAGTAAATCACTTGTTTTCTTATGTTGGAATTTCTAATTCGGATCCTTAGAATAATTCTACCGTTGGGATTACTGACGCATGCAGAATTAAGAGCAGTCATGTGAATAAATTTCGCACAACATCGGGTTTCCCTTCTTCACTGTTTGGTCCTTTTAGTTAGATAATGGGTTGGCATCTCTTAGTTTTGAGTTGATCTAATCTGAACCCTGACTATTTAGAACAGTTCTGTTGCTTATAAAGCATTCAGTTTATTATTATGTCAAATGGCAGGCTTTATTATCTGTATCATTAGCTCCTTAGTTGGCTTCGGCTATCACAAGGAGGAGGGGAGAAGGAAGAACATATATAGGCTTTAGGACAGTCAATAGTAGTTCATTAGTTGTCTTCTGGTTTCCCAGTATCACATTCAGTTTATTGATTGACATCGATGTCCCAGTGTGATGATAGGGTACCGTATGAGTTTCTGGGTTCACGCAACTAAACCGTTTTCCCATATTCTATTGCTCCGAAACACCAATGTTCTCTGGTATATGCTTTCCAAGTATAATGTTCGGTCTGACTCAAACCAAACTGATGCGGTCCCAAAAGTTTAGGTTGAGTTCAAATTTATCAATACGCATTCGAGGTTAAATCTAACTTGATTAAGATAACAGGTTTATCTAATTCTAGAAATTTTCGCTACGCACAACTTTAAGAAAGAAGATAAATTCGTAAGGCACTCATCACTTTTTCACCTTAAAATCTTTCAATGTATTGCTTCAGGTAAAAGCATTTCGATAAACCGAGAAGCAGTAACCTTCATATTATTGGACATGATCGATTTTATACAAGAATTAGAGCGGATATAGAGTAACAAAAACCCTGAAGAAATATTCTCCTATCGTATTTTCAGCCAACACTTCTAATCTTCTATCATTTATCCCACTGTATTGGTCTATCCCTTATAAGGCTAAATAATATATCACTATTACTAGTTGCAAATATGTATTCAGTGCCTCAGCATTATGCCCCTGCAAGATAATCTGTTAAATTCACATCTTTTAAAAGGAACTAGGCAATTTGAATAATTTGAGAATAAGGAAATATGTTACTAAAATGGCAGAAATGCACAGACATTTCACCCTCAGCAGTAAAGTAAAATATTTCGCACTACTTGTCAGCACCTGAGGATTATCCGTGACGGAATTGTTCTTTCAGAATTCAAGGCGTATAGACGAATGTCTCATTCCGCGACCCACTACGAAAAGGTTTATTCCATCAACTTAGCATACTTCACTTGAGAATAGAAATAAGCAGAGATAAGAGCAGTATATTTTGGGATAAGGCAATTATCTACCAATAGGAACCACTATTTTGTGTATTGTAACTAGCTCAAGCCATAGTATTACTGAGGGTAGTCTGATAGTTCGGGAAATGATTGAACCAAAAGGAACAAGGGAACGATTAAAGCATTTTGACACATTGAGCAAAATATGATACAAAAGTTAATGTATTTTGGTAGAAAATAAAATGAGAGAAATTGTTGGCACCTTCAAATTAAGTAATGGAAGTGGGAAATTTGAATAAACAAGTATTTTATTAAGCAAGAAACCATATAACATAGGAATGAAATCGCATTATTTGGAATATATCGAGACCCTATTTCTTTAAATGTCTTCCGATCTGGCCATTATCGAAATTAAACTTATATGATGAATTTTTCAAGAAGAACAAAGCTAATGGTATGAGGAATGATTAAATAAAACTTCTTAACCTAATGGTGCGTGAATTTTAAACTAAGTTGACTTATATACGATAAAACTAGATTGTACATTCTCATTAATGGATTAACGGAAATAAATATCTTGTATCTAATTTTCTGAAAAATTAAAAGAAAGAAACCAAGGTCTCATGAACGTTGTTATTGGCTATTTTTTAGACTAAATGTGAATATATTAAAACGATCAAATTCCATGTATTCTCCAACTTCAATAGCGTCAAAATGATTGTCAAATAAAAGTCTCACATATGCTTAAAATGCTTTTATATATAACAATATCTTAATTCTAACTAAATAAAGCATTTGGCTAGGTTAATTAAATTCAATGTCACGTTTGATTGGTGATCCATATTTAAGAGTTCTTTGTGCTGTCCTATTGGAATGCCTCTAATGTGCGCACTATCTTCCACTTGATGAGGAAACGAAGTAGGTTTAATAACCAATGTCCTCGGACCGGAAACAATCGTCTGGGCTTGGGGTGCGATTTACAACATCCTATTCTGATGAAGTAGATGCTAGTCCAACCATTGAATCTTCTAACCAACATGACGCTACCCCAAGGTCGCGAGCATTTGCAAATTTCTTCGAAGAATTTGAAAGAGAGTCAGACGGAATGTCCCAGACCTCACAACTTAGTAGAGGTTGGCAACAAGCTATTCGTGAATCCTTTGACCAAGATTGCAGTCATCGCGTATCTGACTCCTCTGGATTTTATAATAATCCGGGTGGTTTGGATCCTTGCCTTTGTGATGATGACGAAGAGTTATTGTTCATGGACCGTTATGGCGGCTTTTCACAGTCATTTCATCCTCAGTCTTGCTTCTCAGATGTACGTCTGAAGTGGTTATTTACTCTGTTTAACTTACCACTTTCCTTGTTTTTGCGTGATTTGCTTTTTAAATGCTTCAGGTTTTCGTTAGTTCTAAAAATTAAATTTGACATAATATTAATCATAAATTTTAACTTAATGGACTGCTTATTTTGAAATTGTTTTCTTTCCTTCGCGACCTTCCCCCCC